CTATTCATCAACTGTCAAGATAGTACGCGAATCAACCTGTGGTTAAGTTGGTTAGGTGGACAGTGGTATCCCCAACCCACCAGGGTTCAAATTCTGGTGCTCGCAGTATTCCTGGATTTATTTCAGGATTTTCGGCGATGCGCTTTCAGTGGGGGGAGACGTTCCCGTCGACGACGAGGTGCCTTCATAGGGGTGAGTGTATGCACGTGTATATGAGCGCTTGTGTCTGTACTGATGCTCAAAAAAAACTGTCAAGATAGTACAAAAAACATCAGAAGTAAAAATTACATCCAGGTCCTTAGACCACTTCATTGTATTGTACTTTTGCTCAAAAGAGAAAATAAATTGTACTACTTCCTTGTTCTATTTTTTTTAGTGGGGTAATATCATCGGGAGTTATAAAACTTGCGTCGCATGTTCAGTTTGAAGTTAGAACTTTAAAAATATGGTGTTGTGGTCACTTCACTTGACTCAAGCGTGAAGATACAGTCACATTGCGCGTATGCAGACATATTCATGTGCATGGCCCCACCGAGTGGTGGCACTGGCATGACGTATTTTTACACAAAACACCCTCATAAAAAATTATTCACTGAAAAAGTCAACCACCGTGACGCACCACGGAGCCCCCTCGCATTTTTTTATTTACACAAAAACCCGACCATAGTACTGCACATGTATGCAAAAATTAACACCACAGTAGACAATCTAACCAATACATAAAACAATGATGAGTAAATAAGAGCATTCGAATACAGACCTGTGTATTATATAAAATATTTAGTTAACAGGCATAGAAAATGTTTATTAAATTCAAAAAATATATACACTTGCGTCTTATATTTAAATTATACCAAATGATAAGTACAAACATTTACTAAATATTTATGAAATTCACTTGTGTATAAGTTTTACTCATGACTTACATTCAAAAATAATATATAATTTAAATATTAGCCACGATTGAATATTCATATTAATAGTTTAAATTACAAATTATGAATATTTTAATTAGACAAACTTTGAACAATACAAATATGTGTATAAAAAATAATTCTTCAAAATTATATATTTGAAAGCCAAATATGTAATACACACATTTATATAACACACATGTTTATATTATACTCAGGTTTACAAAATATTTTACTAAATATTTAATATATATATATATAGTACACATGTTTATATTTAAAAGTTTTTATTTATTAATCATCGTGTATATGTACAATATTTTTAACACAAAAGTATTTGAACATAATTATTGCTTCCAGTTTACTAATTTTTTTTGTATATAATACACTGGTTTATATTTGAATGTTTTTTTACTAATCATAGTCGGTACAAATATTTGAAAATAACTTTATTACTTAGTTTATAAAATAAATTCAAAAGAATAGTTCGTGCAAAATAGGCCATACTATCCGCAACCCATTGAAGCTCCACATGCATCCTCATTTAGTACATATCCACATTAGACATATATATGGGAATTAAGGGTTCTAGTGGCTATGCCAGTTCGTGTTAAACTGCTGGTGGTGGGCTCAAGTCCGGCGCCATCCTCATTTAGTACATATCCACATTAGACATATGGGCATTAAGAGTTCTAGTGGCTATGCCGGTTCGTGTTAAACTGCTGGTAGTGGCTATGTTGGTTCACCAATTAGCCACGCTGAAAGTGGCCCTGACATATGAAAGGAAGGCTCCTGAAGACTTGTCGTATACTCCAAGATGTTATAAGTCGTCTACAACTCGTCCTCTTTATACGTGGCCGGCTTGGATGTAACCCTAGAACCCTCAATACCTATATAAACCGAGGGGCGGGGCTAGTAGAGGACGCATCTATCACATTGGCACATTTGATGTACACCATGATCCACATTTCTCTACGCCTAATCTCTCTAGTGCATGAAACATTTCTTTTACTTTCAGTTTTTAATTTATGTTCTTTAGTTTTTAGGTCATTATTATTCTCGCCGCAACCTACAGTCATTACCTTGGTATATTTGTTTCACGGGACAATAAATATTAAATACCATATGCAAATTTTCCAACGGTTACTTGACACAAGACCACTCACAACTTGTGTGTAACCGAAACGTCACCCATAAATACTCTCCTCCGCCCTTCACTGGGACGATCACCATTGGGATACTTACATGAAGGTGCTACACTACCCTGTGTGTCTTGCAGGCCATCATATTTGACTTAAACATCTTTTGTATTTGGTTCATGTATAATGTAATCTAGGAGGGCTTGGAGGTGTTGCCATGGCCTCTGTTTGCGCTTCTCTTCGACCACCAGGGAACATCCTAGGTTTGATTCTTCGGATTGGACGGCGATGACGCCATGACATTGCTATCCCTCTTGAAAGCATCGTCTTGTGTTCTCATGGCGTCCCTCGCGCTGGACTTCATGGGCGTTGGACGTCAGACCGGTTCTAACTACCTCTCAAGCTAGGGGGTTTAGTTGTGTATTTTGCTTGTTCGGGCAGAGCATCCCTTGCCTCTCTGCTCTGGTCACTATGTTCACGTCATCTTTGGTTTGTGCATGTGTTGTACCCTAATGTGTACACATTTTCTTTTCTTCTATCAATAAAAAGTATGCAAGCTTTGCGTACTCGCCAAAAATAATCCGAGGGGACTTTGCCTCCGTGATCTTCTAAAAAAATATGTAAGTTATAGGGTGTTGATTTTTTTTTGTGAGGATCTAGGATGCTAAATTGGTGATCAATTGTAAGGAAATCCCTATTTGTCATGTGTTGCGTCAAATTGTCTCCGCTTTGCACAGCCAAGAGCACTAGCGGAAGCATGTGGGTCGACCTATTTAACCTATTTGTTCGTTTAGGTTATTGGAAACTTCTAGAGGTTCATGCCATTTAACCTGTTTGTTCGTTTGGGTTTTGGGGAACTTCTAGAGGTTCATGAACTGTTTTTGAGGGTTTTTTTCCGTTCCTTTCCATGTTATTTTTCAAAATATTGTTTTGAAACTTTAAATATTGCTCATAATTCAAAAATTATTCATGTTTTCAAATATTGTTCACGATTTTGTTTTTTTGGAATTTAAACAATTTTTCATGATTTGTCGAATAGTATTCAGATTTATAAAAAATGTTTGATGTGCTAAAAAATGTTTATTTTCAAAATTTGGTCACAATTTTAGAAAAATATTCAATTTCCAATTTTTTCACATATTCAAACATTGTTCTTGATTCTTCCAAAACATGTTCGTGCTTGTCCAAATTTGATTGAAATTATAATAAATGTTACCTTTCCAAATTTTGTTTGTGATCTTCAAAAAATGATTGAAATTTTAAAAAATGTTGCTGTATTTCAAATTTGTACATATGTGTAAAAAAATGTTTGGATTTGTCCCTGTTTTTTGAAATTTGTACATTAATTCAAAAAATTCCCATTTTTAAAGTCTGTTAACAAATTGAAAAATAGTTCAACTTCTTACAAACCTTAGTCGCATCTGTGAAAAATTGTTTAGAATTGAATTTGTTTTCCCTGTTTTAAAAAGTGTTCATCAATTCAAAAATGTCCTCTTTTAAAAATTTGTGCACAGCTTCAAAATTTTATCAAAATTGTTTGTATTTGTAAAAAGTTGTTTTGAAATCTAAAAAATGTTTCTGTTTTTGAATTATTTTACACAAATTCTTAAATCTTCACTTTAAAATTTTGTTCATGAATTAAAAAATAATTCATTTTTTAAATATTGTTCGTGTTTGTAAAAGAAATGTTTGTAATTGGTATAATGTTCCCTTTTGAAAATTTATTCATAATTCCGAAAATGTTCCTGTTTTTAAAAAAATATTCTCAACTTCAAAATTTAATCAGAAATCGTTCATATTTGTCGAAATTTCGTTGGAATTTTAAAAATATTACTGTTTTTGAGAATTTGTTCACATATGTTTCAAAAATTGTTCGTAAATAGAAATTGGAATTTTAAAAACATTCATGTTTTTTAAAATTTGTCAAAAATGTTTGGATTTTTTGAAAAAAAAAGCCTCTTTTTGGAAACCATTTCGCCAATTAGTAATGTACACATTTTTCAAATTTGTTCAGTACTACAAAAGAATTTTTTTGGAAAACATGTCCGGGCTTGTCAAATATTGTTCAGAGTTTTAAAATAATATATTTAGAATTTGAATAAATTTCTGGAAAAGGGAGAAATATTCGGATATGCCGCTGTGCGAAACCCCGCTTTTCTGCCGCTGTAATGTGGACTTGTGACAAAATATCTGCCCAGGCTTGCAAGCCCATTGCGTGCGATGCGATGCCATCTGTGCTCGGAAGATTCTCTCTCTAAGGAAAAAGAAAAGAATTGTGCTCGCAAGAGGAGAAGACGACTGACCGCATCCGCGTACTGTGTGATACAAACTGAATGTACTGTCATCATACAGATTGGAAAGAAGGATGGCAATGACTGACTGAACCGAACGATACTGATACTCTGGCGTACGCATAGACAAGCTATTGTTCTAGTGCCGGTGTTTCTTCTTCAGACCTGAAGAATACAGCCAACTGTTTTAGATGCGGTTCAGACTTCAGACATCTGTATTCAGTTCACAACTGTTCGTCAGACTTGCATCTTTTTGGTTTGTCGGATGTTATTTTGGAAGTACCGCAAATATCGGTGTCGTTCCGGTGATGCCATATTTATTACTCCCTCCGTCCCGCAATATAAGATCGTACAACTTGAAAAATGATCTTATATTGTGAGACAGATGGAGTATCTTGTGATCAAGTTTCATAGTATTGTGATTATGCCGCATAACACATTTCTCTCTTCACTTTCTGTCGTACAATATACACGTGGAACTTCAGCGCGGGTGATGAGTGGAGTGCGGGGTGCTCAGGCACCGGGAGTCATTACAAATTTACAAGAAAAAAAGACGGGGACCCAGAATGCCCAGCATAATACAAACAACTACGGTAGAGTACACATTTACACGGGCAAAACTAACAGAACACGGCGGCATGCAGTAAAACCTCTGTTCAAAGCTCTGCATCGGAGTTGGGCGCGGCCACCCCCTTCACCGTGTCCTTGGCTACCCCTGCGGCGGTTGCCGCCGCCTGCTCCGCCGTCTCTTTGCCCATCTCCAGGCTCTTCTTCGTCGCCTCCGCTGCCGAGCCGGCGATCCCATTTCCACCAGCATCATACCTTGACACAACAGAATCACATCATACTCAGGATCATCTAGCGAGCGAGCACATCAGGAACATAATAATACGTACCGAGGATCGTCGGAGCGCGGCCGTTGAAGCTTCATCCACGTCAGCTTCGCCCACGTGCGGAACGCGTCCAGCCGGCTGTTGAACCCAGGAGTGCCGCCATGGCCGACGGCCTGCTCCACCGGCTCGGCGCCCGAGCGGCTGCCAGCCCTCACGCCCGGTGCCTCCATCCGGGACGATGGTGACGACATCAGGAACGCCGCGACGGAGGCCACGAGCAGCGCGAGGAGGACGATGGTGATGGATATGGTCGTGCCGCCTTTCTCCACAGGCAGCGCGGCTGCAGCGCGGCCGCCGTTGTGGTGGTCGTCGGTGCTGGTGGCGGCTGTGTCCCTGGCGTCCGCCATGTCGTCGGTTCGGTGAAGAATGCTATGGCGACGAGATCGGGTACTATAGTAGTGCTACAAGTACTGCGGCGCATGCGCAGATGGACACGTGAAGAGCTTCTAGAGCGCAGTGGAGGAGCACGTGTCCGGGACGTGTCGGGCTCACGAGGTCTGCCCAGGGCTGGCCAACCCGGGCGTCACACGGACGGCCGGATGGACGTGTCCAGTTTGGTTGCAATTTCTTTTTGCGGGTGATAGTGGAGCGTCATCAAGAAAGTATCAGCCGCTCCACGCGCTTATGTGTTACCGTGATGCGAACTCCTGAACCGTTGGATCTTAAATCAAATCGCAGTTGGAGAGCTACTGGATCTGGACTCCTGCACAGC